CAAATGGGATGTGGAGGGTGAGGAGGAGCTGTCAGAGCAACGGCCTGTCTCAGCTGCCTGCACCACTGTGGAGATGCATGAGCCACCACTGCTCGTAGATGCACGGCGCTTGAGCAGGGCCAGTAAGTCGAGCAGCTGCAGAGCTAGGTCAGACGACCTGGCTGTGTAGTGCAGTCGCCTCTGCTCAGAGGAGCGGATGATGGAAGGCCGAGCAGGCAGGGGAGCTGCCTGGGGAGTCCAGGCCTGACATGGGTGGGATGGCCTAGGCTTCAAACTTTGACGCTTGCTGTTTTTGCACTCTGTGAGTTGTAGTGGGGAAAAATATCAACATTTTCTAATAGGTCAGGGGTGGCCAAAGCATAGCCCATGGGCCAGGGCACCAGTCCCACTTTCCTTCAAGTCCATGGCAGATCTCCCAAGGGCAGCCATAGGGCAGGCCTGCAGAGATAACAGATGGTGATGGTAGCTGATCACGTGCCCTGAGGTTGTCTTCCATCTGAGAAGAACATTAATATCCCTAGTGCCCATGTGCCTGGCTGTCATCTCCCTCTTGCCCTTGCTTTAATTTCCACCCTCTTTCACATAAGCTCTACATGAGCAGATGCAGTGACTTACTTTCTTCCTCTTAAATCTTACATGGCCCTGTGGCAAACATCCGGGTGACATATTGCCTATTGGCACCTGTCATCTCTATGGACCAACTTGCCATATTGAAGGTGACTTGATCTCTTCCATATAACATGACTTAATGAAGCCTTTGTGCTCATGGCAAATTGCCAAAGTGGTCCTCGGCCGGGCAAAGTTTAGGTAACCCCTGTAATAGATTTTTGAGGTTCATCTTTCTATATTTTTTTTTTATTCTTGACCTGTTAGGAAGTGTTCGGTTTGACCTTCTATCCAGTGTTTGCCGATCATGATCACACCATGTTTTTAAGCCCACAGATATGTGAGCATGTTTGATTATAATTTTAGATGACTTCTGAAATTGCTTAGAGGAGCACAGGGATTTAAACCACACCTCAGAAATTATTACACACAATGATTTCTCTTCAGAAAGCAAGGATTATGATTTCAGTACATTGTGGCCCCATACGTTGCCCATGGACAAACAATAGGATAAAGTACAGCTCTGCATTTTAGACTATTAGATAGCAGCTTAAGTTTGTTGGAACAATGCTTTTTAGAAGTAAAATTGAGTGCATATTTTAAAGTATTTGAACATTTTGAGAATAATTTTGATCTGTAGGTTTAAAGTTACTTGACTGTGTACTTAATTTTTTTAGTTTGATCTTCGATCTTACAAGAAGATGTAAGGGGAAAGAAACTTGCTAATGGTAAAATTCCCAAAGCAGTATTACTTCCTGTTGTGTTCTACCCTTTAACAACAATCTGTAGTGTCTTACAGGTCAGTGAAAACAAATTTGGATGGTATTGTATAAAAGAAAAAGTGGCTAAAATACGTGGGCAACATCCTGGTGTCTGAAGGGTCTGTTCTGATCCCACTGAAGTCACTTGCAGAATTTCCATTCAATTTAACAAGGAGCAAGATTTGGGGATGGATCTTGCAAGCCTTATTCAAGCAAAACTCGTGTTCGCCTGGAGTTTTGGGAACCAGAAGGAATGTAGATTTGGGGCCTTAGATAAAGACATCAAAATCCTGCTTTTGAAAATTGTGTGTTTCCCTTAAAAATGAGTGGAGGAAACTACTGGCTATAGTTTTCTAAGGCACAGCTTTCCTTAAAACTGGCTCTGTCCTTTATTCCTTTGTAACAAGTACTCTCACGGATGCTAGTGAGAATTTTGAATGCCTGATAAGGCTCAGGAGAGTTTGGGTACCAAAGGAATGCAGGATTAGGCCCAACTTCTGTTCTAAGCAAAAGCCCAAAGAGCTGAAGCTCAGAGTCAGTCCTATTGCTGCTATGAATTGAAAGTACTGTAATTGGAGAAGAGCAGTCAGACGCGCTGGGATAGCCCTTTGCATCCTCAAAGTATTTGGCCCGGCAGTGCAGTCCTTACTCAGGCAAAGCAGGGTCACCTGTAGCAAGTAGTTACAATTGCCAGTTATCTCTGCTGCTAAAATGTTCTCCTGAAAGTGTTTATTTTATTCAACAGTTAAAACATATTCCCACCACTCAAGATGAAACATTTATTTTTACTGCTTTCTGAGTAGCCATAAAGAGTTTCTCATGATCACAAGCACTGTTCTGCAACCCTTGGGTATGTTGTCTCATGACTTCCTTGACCTGCTTGTGGTAAACCAGGTGAGAAGTCCTTCTGCTGCCACTGATCTTGGGGACAGAGACGTTGCTTTAGAATGTACAGTGGTACAATAAAGATATTTACTATTAGGTGTTCAGCTTCAGGCATGGTCTTGTGAATTTTCTATGTCATAAGCCATAAAAACCTTTTCTGCAAGACAGCTGAAAGCTAAATTCTGCTTTCTATTGTATCCATGCAGCTATGCTGAACTTAGACTAAAGTTGATAAAGTTGCCTAGATGTAAAAAAAGACAGAGTTCAACGCTCAAAATTTTTAGATTTATTAGCATCTGTTAGTAGCAGTTTTGTAAGTTTTGCCAAATACCAAGTAATTATATTGCTGAAATAATGCAATATACATATCTGTATTTTAGTACATCAGAATTCATAGGCTATATTTTCCTTTCTTTTATGCTGCTGAAGAATGAAGTCAAAGTCTCTCTGGAGTGTATTTATATAAACCAGACCACCTGGAATATGTGCTTTTTTATATTAACGCCTGAGAGCAAAACTGACCTGTTGTTTGATGGAGCTCTAAATCTTGCAGTCCTTACTTAACTGCCCCCCTCTCTGGGTGTATCCTGCAGGATTGCATACAATTGTATATAAAATATAATAACAGAGATAGGTTCAACTTAGGATCAGGTGATACCTAGTCTGCCCTTTTCGAGTTAATGTGTGTGGTTAGACCTGCAGAGAATTCATGTGCTTTTGTGGAATATATGGTATTTTCAGGCAGAGTAACTAATGGAAAGCTGTAAAAGGTAATTTTTCCTGTTAGGTGAAGCTCAGGGGGAGAACTGTAACTCTATTGCAAACCGTAAGAGATATCTGGCAGAGCAGCCTCTGCATCCAAGCAGTACTGGTCTGAGAAAGCAAAGCTACCACTTGGGTTATGCTTTTAAGACCAGCTTAAGTTGCATCACATAACTGTATGGCACCAAGCTTCTTGGCTACCTGCAGTTTCATTTGGAGTCCAGTAATTTTTTGTTCGATGAAGCCCAGGTAACTGTTTTGGCAAAACTCCCCCTTAGTGCATATAGCTGCTTTTAGTTGCTGCATCACATCTGGAGTCAGATTTGTTGAAAAAAACCCCAACTTAATGGTGTGGCCAATTTTGAGTAGTTTAATCTTTACACATGACTGATCACTGAATTCACCATGCTACGAGTAAAGCGTAATTGTACAGACTTCCGTAGTTCTAAAAAGTATGTAGAAACACCAACTAACTTGGAGAACAGTGTCTGTTGGCAAAAATAATCCGTGAGTTTCTAGGTTGTTTACTCTT